AAGCCACATTGCATGTTTATGAGACAAGAGGCTTTCATTGCCAACCCCAATGCTTCGTTGATCCGTAGGACCCGGTTGTTGGTCACTGGACGAACGTACCAGGATCGGGTGTAGGCCCTCAGTTGTTCATGAGTCCATGGAAATTTGAAGCAGCACTTGGACAGGGACGTATGACCAACAACATGCATGCAGAATGTAAGGGCTTGGCTGGACACCAATGCTTGAGAGCCGATCTTCATCAACACTTGTCAACCCTTCTGGGGCATAGAGTGTGAAGCACCTGGGTGGATGGATTGACACCAAAAACAAAATGCACCAAATGCACCAACCCAGAACTGGGAGCGCTAGAGAGTGACCAGCGAGCCAGCGCAGGCTGAGACAATGGCTTCCTGATCGTCGACCCATCCGAGGCATTTTCCGCGGGCTCCGGGAAGTGGAAGAACTCCTTATCTTTCTCAGCCACAGCTTCTAGATCTTTCATAGCCACTTCCTCAGCGATAGAAACGAGACGAATGAGAAGATCAGGTTGGCCATCAACTGCACATGACACAACAGACTGGTACACACATCCACACATATGTAGTTAGGGTGTTTTGGCTGATACCGCATAGTTCAATTAAGGGTCCAATGCTGACGCGCGAGATTCAGTCGTCTTGTCCGTCTTGTCCTGGGACTTAGATCCTCTTGGCACCCTCTTTGGTTTTTGCTTTGGCACTGCAGCCTTGCCCACCTCCTACGGGAAAAACATCTAGGATGGGAAAGCAGCAACATTCTGTTTTGAATGTGTTTAAAGCAGTTTTTACAGCACCGGATAGAAACCCACGGAACATGCATGCACCTTGTCCAAATCATTCTTTTCAGCCCCTTCCTTTGGCTTGTCCTTCTCAGAATCCTCCAGCTTTTTGATTTCCTCTTCAAAGTCAATCTTGCGGACAACATTTGGCTTTTTGCGGGCCTTCGAGGGTGCAGCAGCAGATGACGATGCATGTTCATCGCGCTTTCCAGGGTGCTCATGAAGTTTCTTGGGGCTCCACTTTGACATAGATCTTTGGATCTTCCCCTTCACAGACGCTGTCAAGGCTGGTCCATCCTCAGCTTTTCGCTTTTTCTCTTTCTCAATCACTCTCTCAGCCTTTCGTTTCGCAATCTCCATGTCGGCCATCGCTTCAATCCGGGAGATGTCTTTCTCAAGCGCTTCGATTTCACGCTTTTTGTGCTCCACCATATCCAACGTGGCCTCCACAGCATCCAGTCGTCTTTTGTGCAATTCCTCATCATCCTTGTCTAATTCATCCATATCTTCCTCAACCTGTTCTTCAACCTCCTCGTGCTTGTCAGCTTCATCATCCCTTTTTGCCTTGCCTTTTGCACGTGGCTTGGCCTTGGGCTTGGTGCTTGCCTTTGCTTTCGCTTTGGGCTGCCCTGTTTTCCCTTTTCCTCTTCCTTTTCCACGTCCTCGCCCCTTTCCTTTGCGCACCTTGTCCTCATTGGATTCCTCCTCTTCTCGCATTTTTCTATCTTCATCTTCTACATCATCCCCCTCCTCTTCAGCTTCACGGTTTGCCTGGCGCATCTTCTTTTGTGCCTGGGGATTCACATGGCAAGAGCAACCAGGTTGAATTGAACACATATTAAAAAATAGAATTAAAACCATGCACGCTTGAAATCTGAAAGGGTCCGGGGTCGGGTCCAAAAATTTAATTGGTATGAGGCTCTGTCCTGTAGGACGTCATCGTTGCTTGCTTCTAACTTCCTCGTTTTGTAGAGCTCCTTCATCAATTGTTGGGACTTCGCCAAGATCTTTGGATCATGTTTGGGCTCCTCCTTTGTCAAAGTAGTTTCGTCCTGAAAGACACAATGCAGTTTGATCTAGAATGAATTAGTTGGCATGTATCAATTTGTCAATATTTGTTTTTGCGTGCAATTTGCACAAAGGACTCCCCACCTTGTGAGCTTGTGTCCCTTCATCTCCAGAGTCCACTTCATCTTGTTGTGTTTCTGCTGCCACCTTTTCTTCTTCCTCAGGCTCGTCAGCCTGGCTGTCCTGAACCTCCACGCTCAACTCCTTCTCATGTTGTTTCTCACCTTTGCAGTCTGTTTTTGCAATCTGCTCTTGCTCTTCCTGGTCGTCCAAAATCTCCTCCTCAGCATCATGGGGCAACTGCATTTGGGAGTCTTCACAGTGTTGTTGTTCATGAGGCATTTGGGAGTCTTCACAGTCTTCGTAAGGCATTTGAGAGTCCTCAACGTGTTCGGCAATTTGAGACTCACCAGGTTCAGGTCCATGTCCAACCTGCTCCTCCTGTGAATAATGTTCTGTGGCGTTTCCTTCCCCAACCTCAACTTCTGCATCCTCTGCTGCATTGTCCTCTTCGTTGCCCTCTAGCCCTTGCTGATCCTCATTCTCCATGTCACTGTCACTGACCTCTTCAATCGGGTCATCAGCAGCCGGGTCTTCTTCCTCACCAAAATCTTCAACTGGGTCGTTGAGGTTCATGGGCAAGGTGTCAAGGTTGTCCGGGTGCTGGGTTTCTTGTTTGCTTTTCTTCTTTGGGCCTGACAGATTAGTGCGTATGATCATATACCTCGTAGGTATAATGCACGCACACATGACAAGCATGACAAAATGACTGGATCATTTTATGCGTTGAAATCTATGTGAATTAAATCATCGTGAACTCATAGAATGATTTTCACTCAAGCCCAGAATCATTGCCTCCACCTTCCCCATCAGCATTGTCATTTGGCTGGGCATCAAACTCCTCACCAATGTGCTTAAGATTGTTTAAGTACACCGTGAGACAACTGTTAGACATTTGTTATCCCTGTTAGTCCTGAACGGATCTTGATCGGCCTCTGGTGGCCACTTTTTTGCCATCAAGGGTCAGCTGCCCCACGGCCTCACCAGCTTTTCAAAATGCAACACATTTTTTAGATGTCGAATTGTTTGGTTGGTACCATGTCCATGTGAGCTTGCCTCCAACGAAGCTCGGATTATAGCCTTCAGCTGTGCCATCTTGGAGTCCTTCGTCCTGAAAAATGTTGGTCTAGGAACTGCAAACAATATTTTTTTTGGAATTGTGCACGATGTGCGATTTTCGTTCATAGGCAGTCCAGTCCTGGCGTTCGGATTCCTTTGAAATCTTGTCATACAGTATGCTGCCATAGCCCTTTGTGTCCCAGCTTCTAGCTCAGCCCATCCCTGAGCTTAATCGCACTAAAGATGCCCCACCATACACAGCGCACTTGACACATGCTACAACACTTTGCCACCTAGATGCAGCATGTTCCCTGTGAGACTCAAAGCCAGGATTGAGGTTGTAGTGCTCGGACACGTGTGTAAGAGCTTCCTGCCGCCAGGCATGCACAGAATTCTATAATATTATGTTACACATTAGTTAATTGTTTTGCATATCATTCATTGCCAACCTGATCAGGTGACATAATGTTTTTCTTGGGGGCTGTGGTCCTTCATAGTGGATTCCGCTGGCAAACCACCAGCGAACTGCGCAAGGAACTCGACCAGAAAGAGATAGTTCACTTCTTGTTGCATCTCAGAGGGGTTGCAAACATCACATGACATAAATAGTTCGGCTGATTTTTACATAATGTCAGTGCCCTTCAAAGTTCGGCCTCTGCTTCTTGAATGGTATCTTTCTCAGAGTATCTCAAGACAAAGGCGAATCTGGGCACCTCAATTGGAGACAAAGTCTTCATTCATTTTTTTGGTTGCAACCAAGCTCATTGCAGATCCAATCAACCCATTCAACATATGATCAAGCTACTGATCAATCAACCAAGTGGCGCTCCGGTCACCATCCTTCATTTTCAGCCTAGTCCTCAATAGTTTTTGCCGCCGTCGCACAAATCCACTCTGCATCACCAGCTCCGTGTAGAAAGCCTGTTAGAGGGGTCTTCTAAGGATCAGTCCACTCCGGTTCTCAGGTATCCTATTTTATGCGTGACCCCTGCCAACGATTGACTGCCTGCCTTGAGCAGGTCGAGAGCATCAGTCGCGCTGCCATCCATGGCCGCCAGTCGAAGCCAGCGCGCCAAAACAAAATGCAAAAAGGTTGCGGTCTTTGAAGACCAATTGGGCCACGAGGTCCCGGGTTGGAAGGGTCATGATCACAGATCAAATGTTGCAGAACACTGGGAAAGGTGGTCAGTCCTTTTCGGGGGAGTGGTGGTATAGGCTGAACACCGCTGAACACTGATCGGACCTTTGCACCTAGCCTTGAAGCCCTGAGAAGTCCTCGACCTATAGCGGCCTCGCCTCTAGATCTATCTTCATAGCCGCCTTCAAATTGAGCAGCATTGCGGATATCTTCAGATTCTTGCAGCACTCCTCGGCAGCTGTGGCTAGTCCATGCTTGTTCCCACTCACCCTAAAACCCTTTGGTGCACATGCATCACTAACAAGATTGCCTCGAAGCAAAGCTTTTCTTTTGCCCATAGATCCATAGGACCTGAAGGAAGGGTGGCAGGGAAGATAGATCCCAGGATAAGATATTGAGATGTTTTTCCATGTAAGCTCTCAAGTTAAGGTCCCCACTCCCATCCAGATCAAAGGACATCCCACCATTGGCGCCAGAGAAGCCACTGTGGAATGTAGGGACCGATCTAGTGAAACTTACAAAGATGCTGGTCCAATGTAAGAGGGACGTGAGTTTGATCTACGTTGTCCATGTCAACATCCTCTCAAGAACCCCAACTTTGGCCCCTTCGAGCCAGGTCACATAGTCACCTGTAGCGGCAACAGGTTGCCAATGTAGGTTCTTTGACAAAAATGGCCGAGGGCAACAGCCTACATTACAAGAATGGTCGTCGCGCAACCTCTATAATAAAAATGGTCGAGGACTTCCAGGGTTATTATATACTGTAATGCATATTGAAACATGTCGTGTGTTGAGAGTTTGGAACCTATTTTGCATTGATGAGGTATTATGAACTGTAGATTTTGGCACCAGCTTGCCGCTGCCTTTGCCACTTGCACTCAGGATGTCTACGACCTGGGTGTGGCCAACGCGGTGCGGCACGATCGTGTGAGCCAGAATAGTTCCACCATCGTGCGCGAGGCCCATGTGCGGAACCCCATCTCGGGGACCGTGATGCCACTGCATGAATATGCGAACCCCAGAGGAATTGGCGTCTCGCCTGGTCTGGGCCGCCTTTTTTGTGGGTGTGAGGAGGGTGGGGCCTTTCCCAAGAAAAACACAGAGGACCCTACATGGCACTATAAGAGTCAGTTGCTTTGAATGTGCAGATCGGGTTTTCTTGCTGCTTGTGATGTTTTGGGCCAGTTTCTGTGTCCAAGGACTTCCCGATTCCTTCAATCAGATCCTCCGTAACCCGCTACTGAAGCGGGGCCCTTTGTTGAAAACTATAAGTAACAGTACAAAACCAAACTGTAGCTGTAGCTGGTTACATGTGGATTTGTATACATGTGGAACCGCATAGTTATGACAATAACAAATGGAATTCATAATAATTAATTCATACTAATTTGTGATGTTCATTGGGGGTTTTCCAGCAGAGATCAGACAAGTCTATGACAATTTCTGCTGAGTGTCGGGTCTGATGGTGTTGCCGGTGTTGAGACAACCAGCCATTGCTGCTAGGGAGTTTCTTGGGACCTTGTGGGTCAACTCGACCTGTGAGAGATGGTGAGACAACTCTTCACATTCTTCCAGGCAGAGGCAGAGGATGTCTTTGTTCAAGGTTTGATGCATGATTTTCAATATGTGATTACTCACAAGGGTTATTTGATACAACTCCCTGTAGCCGATTCAGGCATATCTAATTTGGTTCAGGGGAGCCATCGATGTTTGCTCCTGAGAGCTTGTGTATACTGCAGTGGCATGTAGTGGCATATAATAGCGATGAATCCTCAGTATATAAAAGACTACCTAGATCAGGAACCAGGGTTCCTGGTTCCAAATTTAGGTCGATTAAACAAAACATCTGGAACAATTTGCCTTTTGCTTGTTGGTTTTGCATTGTTTGCGTCAACTGGTTCACCAAGGCGATGCAAAGATGAGCACCCCATAAACCATGGTGGATGCAGCGTTTCACTCGCACTGAGATCGAACACGCGATGCCTGCCTTGAGGTTTCGCAGAGATGCTCAGAAAGGAAAAGGGCGATAAGACATTCTTTGTCAAAGACTTGAAAAGACCTCAAACGGATTTGGTTGCACGAAGCCCAGCTAAGTATTCGCAGCAGGATGTTAAGGTCCCAGTTTTACAAGCCTTTGGCAACGTGGGCCAGAGAAGGAACAGGGTATCGCCAGAAGATGTAAGAAGTTTCCTTCATTCTTCCTCCTACCATTACCACCGAGGGCTCACCAGTTTCTGCCAATTATCGCGTGTCTCATCAAAATGTTGGAACAGGAACAGAGGATGCTTAGGATGTGAGGTCCACATATTATTTGATTTGATGGACCTTTCTTTTTTCAGGCTCACAGTGAAGGAACATGGCTTTTACATGCGTAGCTTGGGGCCACCTAATTTGCAGATAATGGGCATTTGCAGTTCACGGTTGGTTGGGGATTCATTGTCCAATTGGTAGGGGATCACACTCACATGGCATTCGCAAAATGCCTTTGGAATGCGATTTGTTTGTTCTATGCGCCAGATGCCATCTGAGTGTCATCCCCTATACCTCAATTCGCCTTGGGAAAGGTCGCACCAGTTGCTTCGTCCCTGGTTCGCCGTTTAGGTGGAGATCTACACGGGCCGTCTTCATCAGATCCGGGTTTCTGGGCGGAGGGACCGATGGAGATGTGAAGTATTGACCTTTGGACATCTGAAGCCTTTGCGCGTGAGCATCCAGGTATAGATCATATATGTATATATTATATATAGGAGGGGCGTTGTTGGTTTTTTTCCGGATATATATATTTGTTTTTGTTTTTTTGCGGATTCTGCTTTTGCTGCGTTTCTGCTTCTGCTGCTTTTGCTGCTTTACTGCTTCTGCTGCTTTTCTTGCTTTTCTGCTTTTGCTGCCTTTCTGCTTCTGCTGCTTTTCTGCTTTTTGTGTTTTTGTCTTTCTGCTCTTTGCTTTTGTTGCTTTTCTGCTTTGGCAGCTGTTCTCCTTTCTCTCTTTGTTTTTGCTTTTCCATCTGTTTGCTTTCTAACCTTTGGATCTGGTGTGCTACTGGGGGGGGGCGCAGCGCCCCCCCCCCCCCCCCCCCCCCGCGCCACCAAATCTGAACTTCTAACCAATCATATATGCCTCCTGTGCTGGTTCTCTTTCTCTTTACTGTTTCTCTGCTAACGTAGGACTTTCTCTGACACCTACACTATTCCAATCTATTTTGCCAGCTACGACAGCTCCCAAATTAGTCTAATCAGCTAGCAATTAATATGAAACCTGCACTATTCCAATGTATTTGGCCAGCTACGACACCTGTGTCTCGGCTAAGGACATGAAATTGTTGTAATTAGCTAGGCACTAATAAGAAACCTGCTCTAGTCCAATGTTTTTGAAAAAAACGAAAAAACTGAAAAAAACTAGACGACGAGTGGCCCGAAAGCATTTTTCATCACGTAGGAAATCAGAGTGCGAGTTATCCGGTAAGTGTGTAGTGAGAAGTGTTAAGTCGAGTGAGTTGAGGTAGTGTGTGGGTTTCTGTGCGTGTGTCCATGTCCGTGTGGAAAGGAGTCTGCGTATGTGTGCGTTCGTGGAAGTTGAGGGAGTGTGTGGGTGTTTGTGTGCGATGCGGCCTCCCAAACCCCCCACCGGCGGCCAAGCGGTGACAGCCCAGCTCATCGTCGTGAGCATTTGGGCTGCTGGTAAGGGGACAATGGCAGCCAGCGTGCTGGCTTACCCACTTCAACTATGATGGCAGCCAGCGTGCTGGCTTTGCCATCTGGACAATGGCAGCCAGCGTGCTGGCTTACCCACTTC